CCAACGCATCTTGAATCAACTCATTCCGAGATTGTATGAGAGAGATAAAGCTAAAATACCGAAAATAGTACAAACTACCTCGGAATTCCGAGACAGTGTTGGTATCTAGGAGAAGAATGAAGATTTTAGTCATGATTAGATTCGAATATGAAAAAGCTCAAAAAGACAAAAGTTGTCGACCTTTTCGTCAGCTTTCCAACGCATCTTGAATTATTTCGTTTGGAGGTCATATGAGAGAGTTAGAGGTAAAACAGCGGAGACAGTCTAACTGTCTCGGCCAAGGCCGAGACACTCAGACTGTCTGGCGGCCCAAAAACGCTGTTTTGAGGATGTTTCGAAGCTGTTTCGCCCGTTAACCGACTGGATTTTGCTCCAACTGATCTAATGCTATCCTAGAACGTGGTAAAGTAGTTATAACTGAGGATAAGAGTGAATCGACCATTCTTATCCGAAAACAGAGCTCCTGAAGCCTATAAATACAGCCGTAGGACCTTCATTTAGACAGATCTAGAATTCTCGAACCTCGGCGAAGCCCTACTGAATTGGAGACTAAAGGAGCACAAATTTCAGAGAGGAGGAGAAGATCGAATCGAGTTCTTCAGTATAAAGAAGAAGAGTTCGTCAGATCTACAGTTCCTGATTCCTTCCCTTGAGATCGTACCTAGCTGCGATCTCGAGAAGAGTGGTTATCTCGCTGTTGCCGAGATAATCGCTTCGGTTTCTTGATTCCTTCGTGAATCAACAAAACTCCGGATTGATCTGATCGTTTGGTAGTCCACGGATATCAACGTCCCCGTTACAGGCAAAGATCCCGCAAAAAAGCTACATGCAATAAACGTCTGTTACGTTTGTTTGAGAAGAGTTGTAATTTTTGTTATTTTATTGTGTGGGGAGATCTTATAAAAAGATCGTTGTAATTTTTGTTATTTTATTGTGTGGGGAGATCTTATAAAAAGATCAACTTTTAAACTCTTTGTAACACTTGAAGTTGTAATGAGTTGCACAATGGGGAGATCTTATAAAAAGATCAACTTTTAAACTCTTTGTAACACTTGAAGTTGTAATGAGTTGCACAATAAAAAAATCAACTTTCACACCAAACAAGTATCAATCGACCGATGAAACGTGCTGAAAAAGCAAAAAGTTTCTACTCAGTCGACTGATGAACTATCAGTCGACTGATGCAGGTTATCAGTCGACTGATGAGTTCATCAGTCGATTGATAGTGAATAAGCAGCCTGTAACGGTCAACTCATCAGTCAACTAATGAACAATATTAGTCGATTGATGGCACTGTAACGACTATTTTTCCAGTTTGCTGAATTTTCGGGTTTTTGTCTTTTTGCTTGGTTTTTGGGGTTTATTTTGTGAACCTTTATATACCCCTTACCCTCAAACTTCTGAAACTACTTAAGAAAGTTTTAAAAACAAGTTTACAAGAGTTTAAGGGTGTTTTGAGTTTATTTTTTTCCAAGTGTTTATGTGAAGTGGTTTTTACAAGAGGAAGAAGAGATTATTCATTCTTGTTTGAGCTTCAATTTCTCATCTCCATCACTCTTGTTGCAAAGAAGTTTTTGCTAACTCAATTCTAGCTTTATATATTTATTTGTTGATTATCAAGTTCATTAAGCTAGTTTTTATATTGAGTTTGCATTTCATTATACTCATTGTTTACACACACAACTCACTTTTTTATATTGAGTTTGCATTTCATTATACTCATTGTTTACACACACAACTCACTTGAGCTTTTAGTATTTACACATATTGTATATTTGAGTTGTGATACTCATTGTTTACACACACAACTCACTTGAGCTTTTAGTATTTACACATATTGTATATTTGAGTTGTGGGAGTTGTAACATTAAGAGTGAGCTTAGTTAAGTTCTCATCTTCTTTAGAGAACAAACACTTTTATTTGTGCTTAATTTGTGAGCACATTGTAATACATAAGGACACCGAGAGGAGTGGTTGGTGAGACACATGGTCAATTCCAAAAGGAGTGGCGTTGGTAGTAAAACCTAGGGAGAGGTGATAAATCCAAACACTTGAGGAAATTATCATGGGCTAGGCCAACATTTAGAGGGTGTATTATGTGATTACAATTGTGTAAGTTGTGAAAGTTTTCGGTGACCTAGAAAATCGATTGTGTGAGTTGTAAACGTTTTCGGTGAACGTTAAAAACCAATTGAGATAGTGGAGATTCTCCTCGAGAGTGAGGAGCGGAGACGTAGGTCGAGGGTGACCGAACTCTGTGATCATATTGTGTGTTTGCGTTTGTCATTGTCACTATCTCCTTTGCATATTTGCTCATGTTTATATCGCCCTTTGTTTTAATTACATATAGTTGCTCATAAGTTGTTGTATATTATACTTGTTAGGATAAAATTGTTAATAAGTTTTAAATCAGCATTAATATCGGATTAGATAAGCAAATACCCTATTCAACCCCCCCCCCCCCCCCCGTAATTTCAAAGGTTTGATTTGAACTTTTGTGAATTTAGCATGCATGTATATATCCAGATACTACCTATATAACTATGCAACATCATGATCATCTTCTATTACCATTTGGGATCATCAAAAATTACACAAAATCTATTGACCATATATGAGGCATTACGATTCTGATATGGTAGACCAAAAGGCCTTCATTAGCAAATAGTTGAGCTACTACGTAATTACGTATTTTGTAGCATTACTAATAGTATATTTGATAGTATTACTTAATATGTTATTATCTAGTTAGTTTGCAAAATATGAAAAATTTTCAGGCACCATTATAAACATTTTTAATTATTAATTATGTGGTGACACCACCACTTTGCAGAAAATCCTAAATCTGCCACGTGATCGTATAATCAAACATCTCTCTTTTTTTTGCTTGGAGTTGTTAAGGGCTTGTTTGGTTCGTCAAAAAAATCATGGAAATCAAAGTTTTAGGAAATTGGTGTTGACCATGTAGGATTTTGAAGTTGATACATTTCCTTTTATTGTGTTTGTTTCATCCTTAGTTTTTGGGAAATAAGGGGTAGAAAACTCCTGTCAAGTAGGATTTTTTGGAAATGTGATTTCAAAGCTCAAACCTCTGAAATCGGGTGATAATATCGAGGGGGGAATCTAATTTTTTAACATTAAATATTGGGTGATAATATCGAGGGGGAAATTGGAGAAAAGGATTGAAGGTTTATAACATTTTCCATCATCTATTATTGTCTGCCTACCAGATAAAAAAATTGAGGAAATCAAAAGATATTGTCAGATTTCTTGTTTTAAACTTTTGAACGAAATAAGAGAAAATGAAGAAATACTATTTTACCATATGATTTCCATGACTGAAAAAATCTACTTCTAAGAAATACACTGAAATAGATTTCAACAATTAATTTCCGTTTTCTTTTTTAGGATGCGAACCAAACAGACCCTAATAAGATAAGCATCATGATCAGTGTTATGGTGCTTTTAGTCGCCAAATTATAACCCCTTGCCAACAACAGGCGAATATCCCTCGTTGCGCATCATTCAGTCAACTGGACACTTGGGACGGCCAGAGTTCCGACTCGCCGAGTGGATATCTCGCTAGGTCGCTCGAATAGCGATACTTGTCGGTCCTCTCATCAAAGACGGCTCGCTGCAAGTCCACTCAATTAGCTAATTAGCCAGCATCTCGCTAGGTCGACTCAAAAGACGATACTTCTTGACACCCCTCGATACAAGCCAAAAGGCAACTCCGACCTCGAACCCCCCGCTGACAGCGCATCGACATCACATTAAATGCTTAACAGACGCCATCTTTTCTCCATCCCCAACACTATTTATGACACCGAACCATGCTGGCTCCGTACGCCGTCTATCACATCTCATTAATACCGAAGTGACCGCGCCCATTCCATAACCACTCAACCACCGACACCTGCAAAGTCGACGTTGACTCAGCCGCTAGCTCAGACTCGGTCAAAAAGACTGAAATACCCCTCCTGCATGGCTATAAGAGGGAAAACTATTCCAATGCGAATGCAAGCAATTTTTTTGCACATTTTTCCATTCTATAGCACTTAAGAGCTGAGACGGATCTTTTTTTCCCCAATCAAGTATCTTGCTAACTTGATCGTCAGAGGAACAACGAGAGAAACAAATCCCGCCCTCTATAGGGAAGAACAACTCAACTCAAAACCAAATATTCGAAGAAGTTACCGGTCTCTAATCAACTCAGTTCATATCAGTTTACCTGTGTGATTTAAACCATCAACAATCAGTATGCATGAGTGCTTAGATTTTTTTTTATTTTGCTGCAAGAAAACGTCTGCTAAGGTAGTTGTACGGTAATTGCTTTCCAAGAAAGCGATGGTAAACCACTAGTTACCCGTACAAGAACATTGTGCCGCTCTTTCCTGTTTGGCTATTTCTAAAAAAAAATCGGAAATGGAAATGTCACTCTTGAAAACATTTCAAGTCATTTCAAGACATTTCCAAGGTTTCTTTTTTTTTTGTTTCGCAAAGAAAACTCACCTTTTCACTGCCAACTCACACAAACAAACAAAAAAAGCCTCCATAGTAACAGTGACTAGAGTTCTATTTCTTGTGTTTGTTTGAGAACAAGAAAAAGAAAATGAGAAACCTCTTATTTAAATAATACAGTTTAATCTTCTGAACTATTCAAACAGTTTTTTTACTAATTAAAAATTCTCAGATATGACATTTCCAAGTGTTTTCAGCCCATTTTGTTGTGAAAACACATTTCTTGAAATATTGAGGTGGCATCCTACGTGGCAGTCCATTTCTCAAAATTTAAAAATGAAACAAACATGTGAAATGAAAATGTCTTGAAAACAAAAACCCATGTGGCACATGGAGGTTTTCTTGAAAGGTGGGGTGGCAACACATTTCTTCTTTTTTTTGAGCAAACAAACAGGCCCTTAAATCACGCACTCGAGGAGAGTCCATGAACTACCCTAGCCTTGGTCACGCCTAAGAGGCCTTAGAATGGGCATGAGGACATGCTTGGGCTCAGGGCTGGCCCAGCAAGCCCACCAGCAGCCATGAGTAACCATGTGACTGCCGTATTTGCGAGCATCCACCAGATCTACCAACCAACCTACTTACCAGTTCTCAATATGATTAAACAAATAAATCACCATATTAATATTTTCTGAGACTAAATCCAAATGACAATCTCAGTTTCTCCAATAAAAGACAGCCGAAACCAACCAATTCTAATCAGAAGTATGTATCCCCGGTCCCCAGTGGCAGAGCCATTCAATGGCAGGTGGTGGCCACTGCCCCTACTAAAAAAAATTTTTACTAATTTTTTTTTCCCCTTAGAAAAATATGAGCTCGGACAAATTTTTAAAACCATCCACTTTTAAAATTTATTTATAAAAAACAACTCATTTCAACCTTAATTTCAAAAACCGACCCAGTTGGTTGAAACTGGGTCGGTTTTTGAAAAAAAAAATTCAAACTTCACGGGAGTTGAACTCCCGAGTGAAGTTTTGTTATGAGAAAAAACTTCACGGGAGTTCAACTCCCGTGAAGTTTGGAAATTTTAACTCCCGTGAAGTTTTGTTATGAGAAAAAACTTCACGGGAGTTCAACTCCATTGAAGTTTGGAATTTTTTTTTTCAAAAACAGACCCAGTTTCATCTAACTAGGCCTATTTTTGAAATTAAGGTTGAAAGGGGTCTTTTTTGGGAATAAATTTCAAAACCGGATGGTTTTGAAAATTTGTCCATACGAGCTCATGTTGGTATTCTGAAAGAAAATCAAATGACCCACGCTCTATTGTGTTGGATGATTGACTCGGCCTCCGAAGACTGCTGTTACTAAGTCTCGCTCAATCATCATCTAACAATAATATCTCACGATCTCCGTTGTCGTAAGCCACATCGCTAATTAAAACTAACCAATTAACGATTTGGTCAGAAAATAGAAGACAGAGACAGAAGGAGGTGGAGTGGACTCCAAGTCGCCCCCCACCCTAACTATTATTACTTCTCTTCCTTAACAAAAATCAACCGCAGCAGCTCATAAATCTCCATCGTCTGCTTCAACAATGCGCACCCCCGGTTTCCCCTTCAGCGGAGGTCAAAGCTCTGCGTCCATCCGCGAAAAGACGCCCGAAAGACGGGACATTTCGCAACCCCCCGACCCTTCTGTNGCTTCGCACCCGCAGACACCCAATCAGCGAAGGGCGATGGTGAATTGTCCCGCGGCTTCAAGTCTTCCTCCTCCTCAAGTAAGTCCTCTCCTCTAGCTTTGTGTGCCTTAATTTGGACCTTGGTAAGAAGATCAAAACTGAATTAAAAATAAATAAAAATAAAAAAATAAAAATAAAAATCCCCATCATCAGACATCCCGAATTTATCGTCAAGTGGTGGAAGCTCCCAAGGAGGCAGAGCTAAAAAGTTGTCGCTAACTGGAGGCAACACTAATAGAAGATCAGGTCGAGGGATCGAATACAGCGGAAGTAGCAGCAAAAGCACTAGGAACATTACTACATCTAGTAGCAGCTATCAACCTACTCAAATTGGAAGTATGAAGTTCAGTATGGGGGAGATTCGCAAAGCCTCCAACAACTTCTCTCCCTCTCTCAAGATTGGGCAGGGTGGCTTTGGCACCGTCTACAAGGGTACCCTCGAAGATGGCACTGTCATCGCCATCAAGCGAGCCAAGAAGAGCGTTTATGATAACCATCTGGGCACAGAGTTCCAGAGCGAGATAAGGATTCTGGCGCGGGTGGAGCACCTCAATTTGGTAAGGTTCCTTGGTTACTTGGAGGGTCAGGATGAGAGGATTGTGGTGGTTGAGTATGTCCCCAACGGAACTCTAAGAGAGCATCTTGACGGTATGTACACAATTACTGATACGAACATGCCACTTATAATTGCTTTGACTCTTAGATTTCTACTCAACCCATGACGTTGCTACTAAACTAGGCCTCCATGGAAGTTACCTCGACCTTGCTGCTCGGTTGGATATTGCTATCGATGTCGCTCATGCTATTACATATCTTCACATGTATACAGGTATGAATTCCTAAATCTGTGGTCAATACATGCCCCATCTATAATATAATGCTTCCATAATAATCAACCAGCAATGGAGTTTCGTAATGATTTTGTCCTTGAAATGTTGATCGCTGATGCGCTGATGCACTTAACTGCTCAATGTGCAGATCATCCTATCATCCACAGAGATATTAAGTCATCCAATATTCTTCTTAATGAGAACCTGCGTGCCAAAGTCGCTGACTTTGGGTTTGCTCGATTGGGTGCAACCGAGGCAGAAGTGACACATATTTCAACACAGGTTAAAGGCACTGCAGGCTATTTAGATCCTGAGTATCTCAGAACTTACCAACTAACTGAGAAAAGTGATGTCTACTCCTTCGGTGTGTTGCTTGTGGAATTAATATCAGGAAGGCGCCCCATAGAACCTAAAAGAGAACTAAAAGAACGAATCACAACGAAATGGGTAATGCATTACTGACCTTCAGTAAGGAAATGTTATGCACTGTACTTGACTTCCAATATTGTATGCATTATTAACCTTTAAATTTTCCTTGATATTCTCATTGGAGTAGGCGATGAAGAAGTTTATGGATGGAAATGCAGTTGAAGCACTAGACAAAAATATCCTAAGGAACCCGGCAACTAATTTGGTATTGGAAAGGTTCCTGGAGCTAGCCCTTCAATGTCTAGCTCCTACAAAACAAGGGAGACCCAGCATGAGAAGGTGTGCTGAAATTTTATGGAGCATACGCAAGGATTACAGGGATCCCTCATCTTCAGATTCCTTCCCCCAACGTGCTCAACTAAGAAAGCACTTCCTCACACAATAGACAAGCTTATGACAACTTTTTCTACTTTCCCTAGCTTTCTCAAGAAATCCATATCCCCGTCCATCATATTGGAGTTCTAGGAGCTGGTTTGGATGTGTTGTTGAGCTTCGACAGAAACTTGAACAGATCGTATGATAATATTATTTGTGTCTAGCTACAAGCATTGCAGAACAGAAAAGCTAGCCTTGTACATATAGAATACTATCGCTTCTCTAATTCATTATTGAATCTCTTTGTGATGGAATTATAGTTTAGACAAGCCTTCTATTCTGATTTTGGCTAAATTATCCGGATATGATAAGGCACATACCAGTTTGCTGCTGTTTTCACCTGCCCATGATTGTTCATGTTTATAACATCATTGTTGGTGTCATTGTTGGACAATATTGTTTCTTTGTAGATACAGCATCAGTTTGGTATGCCAAGATTCACTACCCTTGCCAACTACACAGGATCTGCATCAAAGCCTCGTTCAACAAAGCACTATCCTGCACTATCCTTAGATATCAGTTGACAGACAGTAGGAACCGATGCGCGGGAAGATACTAAGCTGTCTTGTTTGGGTTTTCAACTGATTCCATCACAGAACAAGTACTAAATTACATCCTCTTTCCCGTCTTTAGACTGTTCCCTGATCGCACAAGTTAAACCCTTGTTTTTGGTTTCTAAGAAACATCCCAAAATGTACATATCAACTGTTAAAAGGGGGGCATTTTCTGGCTAAACCTTTTGAATTAGCATGCCTTGAAAATAAATCAAAATATTGCCTTACTCATCCCTTACTCCTGATCAGTTTATTTTACATATTTGCTTGCCTGTTACCTTGATATATGCATCCCTGAAAGCAATATATGACCGCAAAACAAAGCTTAAATCTTGCTGCCATGATAAGCAAATGAACACTGGATAAGTGATTATAATCACCACGCTCCCATACTACTTTCTACAGAAAGAGACAACTATATAGTTGAAAGCATCTATCCTGTTCACAACCAAGTTCAATAGCAGCACACCCGGGTCCTCGTTTTAAGCTTGCTTGAAACCTATGCTTCAAGTTATATTCAGTAGCGTGAAAGAATAATCCTCAATCAGTCAACAACTCTTGTTCCAAAGATCAAATAATTGTTTGCTCTTATCAGCTAGTATTTTTTACGCCAATCCTCAAGACCAATTGAAAGTATTTTAATTTTCTGAACCAAATAAAAGAAATATTTATCCCTAAATACAATCAAACAGAACAGGGACTGGAAAACTACAAAATTGTTCAAGATCACATTAATTCATTAACTACAAGTCTACCACCCATACTACTCCCTACCACATCTCACAACCACCTTAAATGCAGAAAGTTAAAAGGGCGATGGTCAAATCCTCAAATTACCTAGTAACATGACAAGTTTACATTAAAACTTGTTAAATAAAAGGATGATTTTTACATTCCCAAACTTAGAACTGTTTGAATTTGGAGAGGGGAGATAGAAAAGGCTCACTGATCAGTATGAAGGCTAATCTGCTGACTTGTCTTCAGCTGAAGCTGAAAGTGATCGCTCCCTGCGTCTTCTATGTGAATCCCTTGAATGAGGAGAGCGAGATCTTTCACGTCGGCCCCTGTAGTGTGAGTCATCTCTTTGACGTGATCGATAAGGAGAACGGCTGCGAGTCCTTTTACAACCGCTATCTGCGAATTAAGTTCAGGAGGATATAATACAAACATGCTACTGGAGCATATAATCAGAAAAAATTGCAGGCAAAATAATGCTCTCATGGTTACCTCGTCTTTCTCTTGAACCACAGTATTTTCCAGGAGTAGGTGTCCTGCCTCGCCTCCTTTTAGCCTGGGATCAAGGCAATATATAAGAAAATAACAAAAATGAAAATATGGCAATTATCAATCAATAACAAGATAGGAAATAAGTCAACAGTATCATGTATGCAGTTATGCATGAATGCCTACAATTACAAGTTACACTGTCATAATTTTTAGAGTTCGCTCGATCATTCTCTTAATTCATGCACAAATTGACAGTGTGTTGTATGCAGGTACACTAAAAGAACTCTCAGGGGAAAATTACACATAAAGAGAGAGTTCAAAAAAAAGTTGTAAGATCATAAGACAGACTATGCTTACCAGACTCAAGTTAACTGGTGTTCTATATCTCGTACACAGAAAAAATTTACAGCATGCCACATAAAGTTAAAACTCAGGAAAAGGGAAAGGAGTATTCAGCGCATACAATCCTCTCTAATACAGTCGGATTTGAATTGGTGACTTTGATATGTCGATGAAGTTCTCATGTCGATAAGGGTGAAGTTCATACTTGACAAGAGCATAGATTGAGAAATTGACGGAGCTACAAACACCAAACCTGATGCCAAAAGTTATCAGGCAACGCTTCTAAAGATGAGAAGAAATAAAGAGAATGACAAACATTTTGCCACGACGACTGGACAAGAATTTAGCGCATACCCTTTCCACAGTTATTAAGCGACCTTCAAGTACAGAACGATGTAAGTGTCTAATGCAGCGGTCTGCATCTTCAGCAGTCTCCATAGTTACAAATGCAAACCCACGAGATTCCCTTGAACGAGGATCAAGGACCACTTGGCATTCCAGAACCTTCAATCAGAAGTTTCTCAAAGTCAGGCAAGTACAAATTAGAATAAACTGTACAAAAAGAAACAGGACTGGAGATTATCATATGAACTAGTTCACCTAGGCCGTCTCGCTCTTATATGCATAGACCAATCGGAGGTTTTAATTACGATACGCAGGAATAACGATCAACGTAAGATTGTATACCTGTCCTTCTTTGTTGAAATACTTCTCAAGGTCACTACTGGTAACTCTTGTGGACAGGCCTGTTATATACAAGTTGTTTCCGGGATTATTTGCATCCCCAGAATCTTGGCTCCTGGCATATAAATGCAAATATGAAGCCAGCATTGTAAATAAGACCCAACTTTCTATTAGAATGACAGTGAAGCTGGAGAATAATGAACCTTCGCATCAACTAACTATACCTAGAACGAGTCCTCGCCCTGGACGGTGGCGGTGAAATTGATCTGCTCCGTCTCCTTGGAGGAGGAGTAATGGAGCGGGATGTGTATCTGGAAATAAAAATGCAATGTAAATAAATTCGGAGAAACTTTTTAAAGAACGACATAATTGATAAAAATTATGACAGAGAGAGCATCAACTTACCTTACTTCTTTTACGGGTGACATCTGCAAAAAAACGTAATGCAAGAATCAAATAAATTATCGGAAACTCTTTGAATAAACTAAGATAAAATGGATGGCAAGAATCCTGAATAGTGCGTTACTGAAATATATAGACCCGATTAAGAGTTCCAGTATAAGGTAATGCTAACCCCACGAATAGACACGATTATAGTTCAAATCAGTAACGTCTAAAATAGCACTAGCTCTGGCCAAAAATCAACTTTATATGAACACACGGTCACAACAAAAGGTTTGCGATGTGCTCGTATTGATGATGGGGTTTAGATTTCCTCGCATCGCCTGTTCTTATTCTCTTAAAGTCGAAATATTAGGAGCTGCGTTTATGTGGCTTTTCGTGAGTTACCAGAATTCAAACACCCAAAAGATGAGGACAAGATCAATTCTTTGTCAAAGTTTTTAGAGCGCCCAAAGGTCAAGATGGGCAGGGAAAATAAATTCTCTACGATAAGAACGATGGGAATAAAAAAGATTGAAACTTTTAGTCGAGGGAGAAGAAAAGATTGCAACTTTGAAGAGGGAGGTTAGAGAAGAGAGAGCGTACGTACGTTGTACCCAAAGAGGGGACAAGGAGAAGATGGATCGAGTTCGGGGGAGGAAGAAGAAAACCCTAGTAATAGGGCTAGGCTTTCAATTTTTGATCCCCTGCCTGGCCTCTGCCCAAATGAAATTGGATTTTGATATGATGGACACAGCACCGTAGTTGAGGGAACTAAAAATAATAAAGTTGGGGAAAATTACGTGGGAGGAGCTGAAGGAAACCGTCCGATTCGATTGCCCTTTAACAATAAAGCTGGGGGAAATTACATTGGAGTCCTAGCCCAAAACTTTCCCGGGCTAAACTGCACTTCGACGTCCTCCAGTTTCATCAACCTTGCACTCTAACGTTTTTTTCCACCAAAACCTTAAGCTTAAATGTTCTAAAATATTTTAATGTAACAGACAAATGCTTTAAAGTTTTAAAATGTTGCACGTTGGTGTCCTATTGTAAATACCCCTAGTTTATAAATAACCCCACTTAAATACCATAAAGTTCCTAAAACTTACAATGGGTTAGTACCCCCTGTTACGTGATATTCTTGGACACGTATAGAAAAGTTAAAATTGTCTTGAATTTTTTTTAACTGTGGAGGATTCATCCGGAACAGTTAAATACTTTGGAGTGTGTTTTTTTTTCTCGGTTTTAAAATAGAGATCACTTGAGTGTGCAAGATTAGTAAAATTTTAGGGCAATTAAGTGCAATTTAGTCAACTTTTTCCGAGTTGAATTGGCCTAAATCAATGTTTGGATCAGGCTGATTGAATACCAGTGTGCCTTTAGCTTTTGGTTGGTTAAAAAAAGAAATCTATTATGATAAACTTATTTTCTATAATAGGCTATTTTCTTTTGTTTGGTTCACCGTCTAAAAGTAAGAAAAGAGAAGAGATGAGATGAGTTGTCATCATCTTATTGGAGGATATCACACAAATTTAAGGAAACTCATTTTAGGACTTTTTTTTTGAGAAAATAGGTGGAAGATAAGTGTTATGATATTCACTCACCCAAGATACGAGTATTTGCAAAATGATACACTAAGAGTCCTGGCAAAAAGATCTCAGCCCACTTAAGTGGCCCAAGTCCAACAGAGGCCTCGACCCCGCCGACTCATCAAATCAACATTCTTTCATGGTGACACGAAAGGCGAGATCGGTCGACCCTATCGTCAATGACGACCCCACCTAGGGCACTCGACCACTCACTGGGCAATTCTCGGAAACGACTTGAGGGACATTCCCTGATGTCGGCTAAGTTGAGGACTTGACCCCTGCCTCAAGCCTCTCCCCCAGAGCATATGTCAACATTTCAGTCCACCTCGAACAAGCCTTATCCAGATTTTGGCGTGATGGTCTCCATGACTTGTCAGCTGTCTACGTGCCTTCTGTCGGGCTCTCAATCACTTCCTAGAAAATGCGGAGACATCCTCTTCCGTGCCGAAGTGACTTCCCCTCCAGGCGCTAACCGACACCTGTAAAGCGAGGGATGACTCGGATCTTAGCCACACTTCATCACCACCTTCCGATGTGGGGCTAAGGGGGCCCTATTTTATCCTGACGATGGAGATATATACAGGTATACTCCTAACCTCAACGAGAGGGCAAAATGAAAAAGAAAAAAGCTCAAGTGAAGGTTACCTCACTTCCTCTCTCTCTCTCTCACCCTCGAAAGAGAAAGAACACACAATTCTTCGTCTAGATAGAGGAGCTCACGTAGATCCTCTGGGCATGCACATTGTCACTTAAAGAATCACATTGGTTCATGACCTTCCCCTTCTCCACTCAAGTTTCACTAACTTGACCGTCCGAGGAACCACGGGGGAACCGGTCCCCGCCCTCTCACGGGTTCTTCTTGTCTGTGCAGCGTGGACATCAAGCCCCTATTACATAAAGTCAAAGAAGGAAGCAGCCCCCCATCACTCTCCCTTGCCTCGTCCCGGTGAGGACTAAGGGGAGACCGATCCAGTTCTGGATCAGAACAGATCCCATCCCGGATCCGATTGACTATTTGGTTGTAGTCATCAACAGTTTGGCGCCCACCGTGGGACTACTTTTCTTTTTTGAGAAGACACGTCAAGTTCTAAACAAAGGTCTGATTCTACTCACCTTGAAGAACAACATCGGAGTTATATCATTCAAGCTAAGGAGAGTTAGCTTTGGCTAAGAGGAACCAACATAGACGTAGTCCTCGAAGGCCTCAGCGACTTATCTTAGGAGTGTTTGCCAAGCACACCATCTGCTAGATGGTAGAGTGACCTTCAACACCCCTAAAAGCCCTCTAGAAGAAGACACACCATAAGGGTGGTTGTCTTTGAAAAAGCAACCCTGCCTTCCAATTGCCGTCACAGAATAACTCTGGCCAGAACACAGATTCCGATCAGGCCAAACAACACTCAAGCTCCAACTAACAATAGTTCATATGAGCATAGGAACAATGATTAAGTCTATGATAGGCATCCACCCCAAAAAAAAAACCCTCCAGAAGAAGACACACTATAAGGGTGGTTGTCTTTCTTGAAAAACAACCACGACTTCTAATCGCTATCACAGAATAACACTGGCCAGGACACAAGATCCGATCAGGCCAAATATCACTTAAGCTCCAACTGACAATAGCTTATATAAGCATAGGAGTAGTGATTAAGTTTGTGATAGACGCCTTGGACTATGAGGATTTTTTGAAAGAAACTCCCATATAGCAAGGATGAGATTGCGGGAAAAGCTGAGGGCCTATCAGCTGATTGTCTTCTCAGGAAGAATGACATTAGCCCTTCAACTGACGCCTGCACCACTAAAGTTGCTTAAGTTTTGGTGGTCAAAGTATGCGACCCCAGTGCTCCCGAATCTCCTTTGAGAAAACTGCTACGGTTTGTTATTTTCAGGGAGTACAATATCGGCTGGGGGGGGTTTTTTCTAAGAGAATTTTCACGACAAAAGATACCATGTAGCTTCTGGTCGTGCCCCCAACCCTCATGAACCCGACCTAGAAAACGCCATTCAACATGATTTGTGGCGTCTGGGCAATTCCTTTTGCTAAAAGCTGGCATGTCAACCATTCTCCTTCAATGTCATACTGAAGATTCAAACTCAAAAGGAACCTTGGCTGATGAGATGGTAAATAGAGTTTTGACTCATCTCCATCTATCATTGAGTCGTCCGCTATGGAAAAAAGAAAAATCTAACTAAAGATGTTCTATACTGTCAGGCTCATCCACTACAAAACTACCTTTGAAACAGAGACAAAGCAAGATCACAAGTGGCTCAACCCCCTTTGAGCATCAGATGTCTACAATGAATATTTTTCATGATCATGTAAATTTCAGAAGTAATGAAATCTTATTAAATATGAATTAACTCTTATCTTGCAGGGATCAAGCCTTCACTAGAGCTGAAGACCTAGGCACCACATAAGACCTAGGCACCCCCAACAAGACCTTGGTACCTCTTCAGGATAAACCAATGCACAACTCTATGGCCTACTCCCATAGTCACCATTCAACCTTAAGGGGATTATGTGTTGGCCTTCTTGTTTTGATGATGATTTAACAAATAATTTACGACTAATATTGTTTTTAGTATTTTGTTTTGTGTTGTTTAGTATACACAGGAAAATGAGCTACATTGATATTGAAGCCTATGCAAATTAAAGTCAACCAATCAAGTTCAAGCTTGGTATACTTAGTATAGGTTTATATGTAATGTGTGCTAATTCTTCAAGCTCAAATTTTACACACACACACACATTTATTTGTGAAATTTCTCAAATCATGGGTGTTTTTATGTAAAATATATTTTAATATGATTTACACTATGCAAATATTATAAACATATTTTATTAAGTCCATAAAAACATTATACAAGTTTTCAAAACTTGATTTGAGCAAAATGTCAAAATTAACATGTTTAAATACACATGTATTTTAGTGTTTTTGAATATTTCTGAGATTTCATAAATGGTAAGTGCAAATTGAAAAAAAATCTTTTTCCAACATGTTTGTATTCATGTTTATAAAATTTCCCCAAAGTTTTACATTTTTTGAAAATTATTTACTATTTTTTAAAAAGCCTCTCAAAATTCAGATTTTGGACATGCACAGTCTTTGTGCATGTTCATAAGTCGACTTATCAGTAATGATAAGTTGACTTATGAACTGCCCTAGAGTGTGCATTTTTTCCTCGGCCAAGTCAACTTATCAGATTTTGTAAGTCAACTTATAGCAAGTCGACTTGTGATCCTATATAAGTCGCCTTATAGCCTATATTTCAGTCTGTTACTTTCTTCTGCCAAGTCAACTCGTGTGCACTGTGAAGTCGACTTATGATACTATTAAGTCAACTTATAAATCCGACCATTGCACAATAATGACTATTTCTGGATTCTGTTTTTGGTTGGGTTTTTTAGTCATTTTCTTGGATTCTTGGGCTGGTTTCTTCAAGCCTATAAATACTCCTTTACATTAACTATTTCCAACAACCCAAGAATATTTTAAACAAGTTTTATAAGAGTTTTAAAGTTTGATTAAGTTTGTTTTAAGTTTGGTGTTTGGTTTTCACAAAGAGGGGCTTACATCATTGGTTGAGGAATACATCCTCAGTCTTTCATCATTTACTCTTTGTGTTTATGGAGAAGTTTCCCTAACTCAATTATCTAGCATTTTATTCTTGAATTTCATATTTATATTATTGCTAGTTCTTTTTGAGTTAGATTTTATTTGTACTCATTATTACACACACATCCCTATTGACCTTCTAGGATTACATACACTATATTGTTGGTTGTGGTGAGTGATATTGTGAGAGTGAGATTTATTGTGTTCTCATTCGTTATTAGAGAATAAATCATTGTATTTGAGCTTTATTTGTGAGTATCACTTTGTAATGCATATTTATACCGAAAGGAGTGTGTGGTAAGGACGTGGTTGATTCTAAAAGGAGTGGTGTCGGTAGTACAGCCTAGTGAAAGGTAGTAAAGCAGAGCACTTGAGGGAGGCGATACGTGAGGACCAACACTTGAGGTTGCAGTTTGTGTATATACCTTGTGAGTGACTTGTAAAGTTTTTGGTGAACTAGAAAACCGAGTGTGTAGAGAAGTTCCGGCTTCCAAACTGGGTGTGTCGATATAGTGGAGATATCCTCGAGGTTGTAGGCGCCAGAAATTACCTATGGGTTCCCACACGCAGCTCGAGACAAAGAGAAGACGAT